ACAGACAAAAACCTGGGTTGAAGGGAGTGGTCGACTGTGCCCTCTTGTGCTTGATTCTATAATCCTAGTGGTAGTTGACTGTGTATGGTGTTTTCCAAGAAGGAAGAACCCTAGTCTGCTTCCTGATTTTGGGAGAAACCCAGCTATGATGCCCTTCATTTGGCCTTCTTCTGGTCTCTGAGATCTCTTAGGAATGGAATTCATGACCTCTGCCTGCATCTAGAACAGAACCTGGAAGCCCTACGACTTCAGCCCCATTTAGTAGTTTCTCTTTGTTCAATGTACAGTGTGTATAAAATGTGTGGGTGGGGGGATATGATATTTGTTTGGTTGGGAGGGATTCTCAATGCATAATTAAGGTCAGCAAAAAATGTTTACAAACATGCATTTCACTTTTACAGTATAAATGACACTTTTTTATTAAAAAGCATGGATATCAATTAGAGGGTGACTGTTATTGCCTCCAAAATAAAAAGGCCAATGTTTGGTTCTCTCTCTAAAGCAGTAGCTTGTTAAAGATGAGGAGGATTTTTTTCCCCATTTTCCATAGATGGAAAGAAAAACGTGATCAGCTGATTCCTTCTGATGAGACAGAGTAAGCTGTCAAATATGTACCATCTGGTTCAGCTCCTAATCCAGATGGGCTGCCAATGGTAATTTATGAAAGGTTTGAAAAGCAACTTTCTATTCTCCAGAAAGAATCATTAGAACACATTAACAATGTGTTGCCTCCCCAGCCACAATTTACAACAAATGGAAAAATAAGGCAACTGCTTCTATACAGCAAATACAACAGTCTGAGCCAGAAGTCAGTATGTTTCTGCTCTTTGGGGAGAAATATCAATCACTTTCATTCCTCTTCCCTCACCTCTACTGCTCAAAGAATAAGGAAGAAAATGCTCCCATAATAGAGTTTCTAACAAATGTCTGAAGAAACCTTCACAGTCTGTCATTTCTGAATATATGTGATACTTGAAGAAGTCAAAGTCAACATGAGGAATAATCTGATGTATCTCATGCTCTCCCTAAAACAGGAGTGTCTATTCTAATCAAACAATTATAGAGCACAGATGGCTAAATCTAGGTGGTATCCCTCTTAGCCCGTTCTCCACCCAGTCAGTACCACCTGGGTGTTATGGCTCCTGAGTTGGAACCAAATGATAGAACACTAGGTTCAACCAAGTTTACTTACCTGCCTTCTATTCTTGCTCCATCATTTATGTAACAGCACTGTGAACTAATAGAACTTTTTCTTGGATGATAGATGCAATCCTATTAATTTGTTTTCGGTTCATGTAAGAATTGCTGGCAGAGAATGAGGTCATAGTTTTCCTTTGACCAAACCATCTGCTTTTCAGGCTCTGAGGAAATTGCCAATACATGTTTAAAATGTTTGGAATGTTCAGACGAAAAGTCCAGAAGAAGTGCATAGTTTATAACTAAACATGAAAAGGTTAGGGTGATTGTAACCTGAAATTTAGACTTTGACTAAGAAGGAATAGAGAGACAAGGGAGAGTCACTAGGATTAGGAATGCAACAGATAAATTGGAGCTGGGAGTGAAGAAAACACAGAAATTAATGCCATTGAGACAGAGATGATCTGTTGAGGACACAGCATGCCTTCCCACCAGGGCATGGGAAACCACTGAGAAAGTCTTACACCCCCAAAAGATCTGAGCCTCAAAAAAGAATGGATTGCGTGGTGGGTGTGAACAGGCAATAAGGCACAGCAGAGCAAGGAACTTCTGTCTGTCTTCTAAGACATGAAATAGAGCAGGGACATATCAGTGAAACTAACTAGAAGTAGTCAAGAATATCAAAGACAAAACTGGGCAGTTCTTGGATAGCCTACAGGTTCTGTAAGTGGACAAAGATAACATTGTTCAAAAATTATTTTTAATTGTTACCAGTGATTTTTTTAAATACAGTAACAATTCATTTTCTCATTTCTTAAATCTGTTTTCTCTTCTCTTAAATATTAATAAAATTTATTTTATGTGAAAGTATGCATTAATCTCCTAAATCATTGAAAATGAGAAAGAGATATACTATTTGGTTAGCTTTGATTCATCTAAATTAAAACTGTAAGTTCTAAGAGGAGATATTTTTACAAAAGAAAATGCTGGTTTTTTTTTTTTTTTTTTTTTTCATTTTCATTGTTGGAGGGAGCATGGAGCATGGAGACATCACTTTGAGCGAGGTACTGTGTCCCTCTAGTGGCCATTTAATAAACTACAGACAAAAATTGCATTACTGAGGAAAGTCAGCCAATTTCAAGGGAATTTGCCAGTCATGTTAATCCTATTTCCAGGACACTCCACGCAAAGGAAAGAGAGAAAGAATGCGTGGAGCACGTGTCACAGACACAGAAAAGGTAACTATGAGATGTCAAAAAATATGGACTCTGAGGTCATATGTACAGTTCAAATCCCAGTTCTGCCATTAATAATCATGGCTACCAAGGGCAAGTTTGGGGTCTTTGTCACACTCTCTTTGTTCATAAGCAAAATAGAGGTAACTAATGATGATAGAGTTGTGAGAACTAGAAAAGGGACTATTTAAAACATTCAAAAAGGTACTCTGTCACAGTGAGTATTCAATACTTTAAAAAATATTTTTGTCTAAAAAAATCAATACAACAAAACTAAACAAAATAAGCAGATAGCAATAATTCAAAGACATTCTGCAGGGGATAAGGATGGAGAAAATACAAAACACAGGTGAGAAGAGCACAAGGACTGAGGAGATGGTGCACAGGTGAATTGGTGGTGGAAATTTTGTGGGGATATATCTGATATAAAAAACATGCAAATTGTAAAAAATAAAAACAAATTGTTCACTACAATAAAAAATAAAAGTAGTATGAAATATATTTTTATCTTATGCTTATAAGCTTTGTTCTTTGTACCTACATTCCACAATGATTGTTCAGATTTTCTTTTTTATTTCTTTCACATTCTACATTTTCACATTCTACAGAAAACTTGGGACCTAGAACATATAGGACAATAGGACAAGAGGAGTTTTTTTTTTTTTAAAGATTTATTTATTTATGCATATAGAACTGGGGTACAGGCCAGAGGTGCAGGGTGGTGAGAGGCTACACCCAAGACAGTGGGGAGCAAAACAGGCAGATCAAGGAAACACATGTTGAGGGGAGCAGTGGGCGGGTCAGGAGAGGTCTGCCACGCCATGTGATCACTCCAGGGCAGGTGGGGTTAGAACTCAAGCTGAAGTGGCTTTAGCTCTTTATTGCTGTGCTTTAACCTGCTGCGCCACCAGGGAGGGCCAGGACAAGAGGAGTTTTGAGTGCCTTTTTAGCATATAATGTCTCAAAGTCTAAAACCTCCTTAAATACAGTTAGTATCACTAGTACACTGCTTTTACATAATCTGTAGCTTTAAGTACCAGAGGAATTATTTCTAATTTTACTCTTTACTGTCTCCAAGTATTAAAATGCAAAACTAATTGTTTTAATTTTAAAGCCTATGGAACATTGTCATAAATAAGATTTCTCACAGTGGGTTAGTTTTTTTCTCACAATTCAACTTACCTGGGATCCCATGTCATCTATAGGGCACCCATGAATCCCACACACTCAACAAGATTCTCAAGCTGCCTGATGAACTTTCACCTCTTCTTCAGCATTTCTATTATCATTCCTGTGGAGTAACTTTACCCTTTAGTCATTGGGGATCTTATCTTCATTTCATTATTAATTAAATTCATTCTTACAGTCATAAATTAATTATTTGAAGCAAAATTACTGAGATCTTTAGCTCATTCCTAGCACTTTTTTTTAACTCGGGTAATTAAATTGAAAAGTTTTTGTGTTAATTTTTATTAATATTTGATGAAAATGACTGATAGAAAACTAAAGACTTCAACTTCTTTTTTTTTTTTTAAGATTTATTTATTCATATGGAATTGGGGTACAGGCCAGAGGTGTGGAGGGTGAGAGGATTCACCAGAGACAGAGAGGGTAGCAGAACAGGCAAAGCGATGAAGTAAACTGCTGAGGGGAGCAGCGGGCGGGTCAGGAGAGGTCTGCATCGCCATGTGGTCACCTCTGGAGCAGGTGGGATTCGAACTCATGCGGTAGTGGCTTTAGCTTCTTAGTGCTGTGCTTTACCCCGCTGCGCCACCAGGGAGGGCCCAAGACTTCAACTTCTTACATAGTAGGAGTGGTTAAACAATTAGAAAGCACGTATGCCATCAACAGTGTTCTTCCATGCTGTTGTATTGCCGGTAGAACTTAGTTGAAATGGTTAGGACACTTGTTAATCTATCCTTAGGCTAGAGCAGTGGGGTCCAACTCAAGTGCAGTTGTGGTTGTAAAGGTGTTTTCATTTTACGAATTCTCATGTTACTTTTTCTCATGAGGCCATCAGCAGTGGTGAAAAATGAAAATATGAGACTTGTTTTCTATTGTATGGACAATAGATTTTGATTGTTGGTGATAACTTGATTTTTTATCTAATGAATACAGCCTTGAGCACTTATAATTATCAAGAACAAGGACCATAATATTACGTAAATATTTTACTCTATTGATTTAGTAAATGTTTTGTTTACTGGCTGGTTTACATTTCTGCTCAAAGAGCATCTTTAGATAAATGCAGCTTTTCAGTAATATCCACAGGAAAACTCTCGGCAAATATATTGAGCTTTTTTAATCACAAGGTTCTCAAAATATCTTAAAGAAATATTAAAACACAAACCTTTAGAAAAGAAGAATAAATCTAGTTGCAAAAACCCACAACTCATCTTTCCCCCCAGGACTGACTGACTCAAACAAAGGAACATAATTTGCTTTTTCTCTCTGCTGTATCAGGTCTATGGCTACTTCTATTATCCTAAAACTTAAACCTGACAACTTTTATCAATTCATACCTGTCATTAAAGAACAGATCCATTTTCAAAAGTTCTGTGTTCTTAGGCATTCTCTATTGGGATAGTGTGTACTAATGTGCACTAATAGCTGGCTTGTTCTGTTTAGCTTTCTCTTGACTGGTGTCCGTGAGATGATGGGCTGCGTTCAGAGACGAGTGGATCTTCTGACCGAACAGTGTTCAGCGCACAAGGAATTTGCTCTTTGGAAACAACAACTAATGGCCTCTGTGGAGGACTGCCTGAGGAAGGTAGTTCATGCACTGTGTCCCTCTATTTAGACACAACTTCTATTTAATGATGATCAATGTACTGGAGACTGTAGCAGGTGCTCCTGGCAGGAGGTTAGGAGTTTGGCTACACTTCATTTTTTTTTTAAGATTTATTTATTTATGCATACATAACTGGGGTATAGACCAGTGGTGCAGGCGCGGTGAGAGGCTTCACCAGAGACAGAGTGGGGAGCAGAACAGACAGATCGGCGAAGTACACTGCTGAGGGGAGCAGTGGGTGAGACAAGAGAGGTCTGCTGCACCATGTGGTCACCTCTGGGCCGGGTCCAACTCACATTGAAGTGGCTGTGGCTCGCTTTCAGTGCTGCACTTTAACCTACTGCACCACCAAGGAGGGCCCCTTTGGCTACTCTTTTTTGTTGTTGTTCCTTGAAATAGCTTTATTTATTTTTATTTATTTATCATTTTTTATAATATAATAGTTTATTTTTACATCATTTTGTGTCTTTTTCCATCTCAGTTGTAATCCCTGTGGACTTGCCATCAGCAAATCACCCGGTGCCATCACCATAGTGCAGTACATTCACCCCACCCTCCTCTGCCCCCGTTTTTGATCCCATTCCTCACGCCACCCTGGTAAAATGTCTCTGGCATATAGTTGTTCATTATTATTATTTTCTTCCCTGGTCACCCTGGTAAAATGTCTCTGGCATATAGTTGTTCATTATTATTATTTTCTTCCCTGGTCCTTAATACTCCTACTATGAATGAAGCCATCAGTATTTTTCTTTTTCTTTCTGGCTTATTTCACTAAGCATGATCCCTTCCAGCTCCATCCATGTGGCTGCAAAAGGCCTGTGTTTATCTTTTTTGATTGCTGAGTAATAATATTCCACTGTGTATATGGACCACATCTTTTTAATCCAGGCATCTATTTTTGCACATTTGGGTTGATTCCATGTCTTTCCTATTGTAAATAAAGCAGCAATAAATATGGAGGTGCAGGTGTCCCCTTTGGCTACTCTTAATGTTTCATCTTAAGTTTTATAGAGTGAAAGTGAAGCTCACTGTTGCTCATCAGCCATCCCTGCCCTAGGTTGCCAAAGTTAGATAAACTGGCTATCCTAGTCCTGGGGTACACAAAGGCAGCCCTCACTTTATACAGAACTGTGTTAACTGAGTCATATGCATATTGGGATTATGTTCTTGATTTACATGGTTCAGTATATGGCATCCACCTGCACACATTTCAGTTTAATATACTGCCATACTGTACAAAGACTGTAGGTGGATAAATAGCCAACATGTGAGTTTTAGCAATTTCAAGGAATCACTTGCCACTATCCTAAGTTACTGAATAAAACCAATGTAGAGAATGTGTCTATGCCAAATAAAGGCACACATCTGAAAATCCCCTTTGCACAGTGAACACAATGACTTAGTATAGGAGAATTGTATTTCTGTTTTCAAAGAAAAATAAAATCATAGCTACTATTTGGTGAAATAAAAAATGTGCTTATCTATAGAAGAAGTAGATCATAAAAGCAAGCAATATGTCTGTAGCATCAATGCTAGTGAACTTTGTCACACAGAAAGGATCTCAGATTTTCAGTGATTCCTTATTTGATACAGTAGACTTATATGTCTGACTTTCACAAGTAGAACTAGTAGCTTCACAAATGAAGACATTAAATAACTTTGTGTCTATGTAAACCATCACCTGTTTTTGATCTAGAAACTTGGGAATTTGAACCTTGTTCTGATGTCTGGATCTAGGGAGATTCCAGATATGGCGGCAGCTGTGATGCTGCATTCCCCAGAAAGTGAGACACAAGCTAATTTGGAGAAAACACAGTAGGAACTCAGACAACTGTTACTACTTGACTCACTGCCAGTTCACAGCCAAATTACTGTGGGAAGTGCTGGACTCTAATTAGAGCAAAAAATGAAGAAATTAACTCAATTCATTGGTTCATGTGTACTGAAGATCAATGCATGGACCTCCACATTTTTCACAGCATTTCTGTGTTTTATTGTCATATGTACTGGGTTTGGAGCTTCCCTAAGTCCCCTCAATACCCAATATGGCAACCAGAGTGATCTAATACCCACACTCTGCCTCTATGTATCTGTAACTTGGGCTCTGTTTCATTTATAGTGGATGTTTGTGATTTAATGCATACGATAAATTTATTGACCTGTTAGCAAGTACATTATTCTTTCTGGGTAACACAGAAAAAAAAAAAAAGATGCTTGAGGATGTATCCACTTCCTTCTATGTCTCATTGTTTTGATTATGTCTCATTGTCAGTAAATTAAACATCTCCAAACATTGACCCTCTACTGGTGGGTCAGTAGCAGTATTTGTTACAAAGTGTAGTGGTATTCATTTACACATGAAATTCTGAAATGTTAAAACTACTTTTAGATTTAAGTTGATACATATTTGAAGTATAAGGGGAATATAGAGAGTAATACTTATCTTCTTTACACTTTTGTATATAAAGTACAAATACACATTACTAAGATTACAATATGCCTTATTTCTAAAGGTGGAAATGCTAATTCAGAATATCAGTCCAGTACTGTCTAATGCAATGGCTGTTGGTTCCAGCATTTCCGAATCAGAGATGATTTTGAGTAAATATCTGGAATTAGATATCCATGCTAAGGTAAATAAAATTGTTATCATTATGGTTGTAATTTGTAAACATGATTTCTTTATATTCAGTAACTATAAAATTTAATCCTGGATCCACCTATGGTTGCAATTCTTAATTAGTATTGTAGCAAATAATGACTTAAAATTCCTACTACTATGTACATTTAAATTATTTATATGTGCATTTTTGGGGTGTCTGAGCTCAATGAAACACAGCTTTATAAGTTTGATATTAAACACTCATTTGCTCTCCTTTTCCTTTGTGGATGCCAGAGGATGCAGGAAGAGTGCTTTTCTAAGACTATTTGTGATTTACTGCTAAATTACAAAAGAAAATGGTCAGAAGCAGTATACATTAATGCAAGATTCCAGGAGGCAACCCCCCAACACCAAAAGAAGAAAAACAAAAAAAACCCTCTTATTTGTACATTCCACATTCAGAGTCAGAAAATACCCCTCTATTCCCTGGCACCTGCTGTAACACCCTGTCACCTGTTCTCACGCGGCTTAGTTTTAAACTTTCCCATTAACATCTCCAAGCCTGCACTGAAGCTCGTGTCCAACCCACTAGATGAATCCACTACACTCCCCTCCCAAATAATGGGAAATAGCCTTGTTACTCCATCAATTCTCAGAAGAGCCTTCTTTATGCAGTATTCCCACCATAAAATGACAGATGAACCATTTTTAAATGGGATTTTTTATTTATTATTTTAAATATTGAAAAACTATGTCTGAACTCAATTTCTTTTTCTTTTAACATTAAGAAGTGGGATTTATTTTTTAAATTTATTTGAAAGATAAAAAATGGGAATGACGCCACTGTTGCCTTCTTCCCAGAGTGCTATCTAGAAACCGCACTTGTAAATTAAAATTGCTGTCATTCATTGAAGTACTTGGGAAGCATATTAAATACGCACAGGGAAACAAATCTCCCCTTGCTGCAAATGAAAGTGGAGCTTTTGCCTTTTTGTTTTTGCTCTATTTCCTAGCTTAGTCTTATATTAAATTTTGCATAGCTCTTTCTATGGCAATTGTAATTAATGCCCACACTACCCAGTCGTTCATTTAATCAGAGGTTAGATTTCACCTTCCAGAAATTGCAGGCAAAGAAAAAACATGGAGAATAACCTTCAGTGAACCTAGTTCACTGACTTGTTAGGGTGTTTAGACTTCATATGTCTCATGTCCTTGCTCCTTGTTTAAAAATCCTTCTTGATAGAGATGTAAATAAGACTGAATAATTAATATGTCACTTTGTAAATTAGAAAATGAGTACCCAATTTTTATAAACTAGCCACCTCTTATATAACAATATCCCTTCAAGGAATTTGCCAAAGCTTAAATTTCATTAAGCAATTCTCATGTATAATGATCTCATTTAAATTGTTTTAAGCATTTCTGCAGTTTTACTACCTCTCACGCCAAACAACCTTTCTCCTATTTATGGCACAGAAACTAGAATTCTCTGGATAAGAAATGTAGCTTATAGAGTGAAAATATACTTTGAGATGATTTTCATTTGACAGTCTTTTTTTTTTTTTAATTTTGAGAGTTGTGCCTTTCTTTTATTGAGGAGAGTCTTGGTAGGTTCAATTAATAATCATAATAGACAGATGTACAGAAGGTAGTGAAATGTGAATGTTTGTGATTCCCCTGTCTGCTCCTGACCTCTGTGTTTTGCTTTCATAGGAGGCATCACATGAATTAGAAGCAGCTGCAAAACTCATGACAGAGATAAATGATTTTGAACCTGATGAAGTGATATCACTTTCTTCTAAAGCTAAATGGCTGAAGGAAGAATTAAACCTACTTGGCCAAAGCATAGGCTTCAGGTTACAACTCCTGCAAACTTTTGTGGCATTTTTAAAGTCATCAGAGGAGGTACAATACCTGTGTTCTGACCTTCCTCAGTAAAGTGGCGTGTGTCTGTCCTATTTATGGGGATATAAACCATCATCTCCACCCCAGCACCCACTCATTTATAGCCCCTTTACAAGGACTCAAAGAACAAGTTGTTTTATAAAATAAACACATGTATTATATACACACAAATAAGCAAAGTGGTTTTTGTTGGAACATTTACTGTGACCTACAAATATTTCTAATATACGAAACATAGGACAAAATTGCTTAAAAATAAGCCTCCTTCTAAACCATTGATCTCTTTGAATACCTTAGCAATTAGTGTGATTCATTTAAAATACACAGAATTGGAAATTATGGGCTTTGGAGTTGTCTCTGATCTGTTTTGTTTGATGACTTCTAATAAGCTACCTCTGAGAGCATTGTTTGAGGTATTGTTTTAACAGGATTCTACTATCAAATAATATGTAAAATTGCCTCTGGTAGGCTAAGATGCCATTTTACACTTTCTTGATGCTGATATCAGTCTAGAACAGAGCTGTTCTGTCAACTCAGGTCTCAAGCGCCCAGCTGGATTCAGGTCACTCTCCTTTCAGGAGGGGCGCTGATCCAGTGAGTGATAGAGCAAGTGCCCAGCAATGATCATTGAGGGGTAAAACCAGCCAAGATTGGTAGCACACTGAATTTCCATCCTCTCACTCCCTGCCCTGCAAAGCTCCAACCCTATCCTGACACCACCATCTGGCTGTGCACGTGTCTTCTGTCTGCTCTCAAAATATTTTGAATTCTCACCCCTCTGGCAGAAAGCTATGCCTAGTCCCTGAAAAATCTCAAATAAACACTGCCTCCTTTTCTACATCTTTACACTGCTTTTTATTTTCTGAATTTTAAAATTTTTTTTTTCATTCAGACCTCTCATGATTCCACAGAGGTATTACAAAAGACAGGATTGACCTGTTGATGAATATTTTAATCCAGAACTTGAAGCAGTGAGAGGATACAAAGAAGAGCTAGCTTTCAGTATCTTCATTGTCAAAAAATGTAGCTTGGCTTCCATTTCAGCTTCTACTTCCATGGCCTATGCTGGCCTCTGGGACCGAGAACCTCCCTTAGGATTGGAAACTCAGCTTTGCAAGCAACTTTTTCAGAAGAACCCTATGTCCTTGCTCTCACTAAATCTATTTTCCTACCTGGCAGAGCCTTCTGTCCTAACCTTGGCAGAGCTGTCTGGATGTCACTCCCCTACTCTCTCAAGCTTTCCTTCCTTCCTCACCAATGTGTGGTCTCATTTCCATCCCCATCATTTTGCTCTCAATTTCCTACCTTCCACCCTGAGGAACGCTGCCAATTCCCAATACTAGATAAATCCAACACTCTGTTTACTTGGCTTTTCTTTCCAACCTTCCAGACGCTCCTGTGAAAAATCATAACAATTGTGCTGATTGGCACTGTTACAAATATATGGGTCTCTGCCTCAGCTGGGTCCCCCAGATGCTCCCTATTTGGCACCCATTCAGTAGCGATTCTCAAACATCTTATCCCAGTTTCCATCCCTAACTCTCAGCTGCTGCCCTTACTAGGAAAAAATGAGGCCTTTGAACTAGCTTCCTTGATTTCCTTCAACTTCTGACCCCATTGACATAGTCACCCATTCACCACTGTAGCCATGAAATGAAGTTTACTCCCATCCAGCAGTAATTGGTCATCAATGCCTTTCTACAGTATGTCTTTCCATGCTTCAGAAGAGCCATCCTGAAATTTTTCAAATTGCTCATTTCATTGCTTCCTTCCCTTGGTCTACACTTATGCCCAAAGATTCTTGCCTTCAACAAGATTACCACTCGGTGATTTTCCTTCCCTTCACATCTGGACTCTTGGAATGGGAAAAATAACATTTCTCTCATCCTCCCCAATCTTCATCCCATAGCATCTTAGTTAATTCCTTTTAATCCTGCCATTTACCACTAATTCATTCCATTGAAAATATTCTAACAAGCTACTTATGTCAGGCAGTTGACAAGTGAAATGCTGCATTTTCAGTCTTCATCCTACTTAATCTCTCAATCACAATGTTTTAACCCAGTTCTCATTCTCACTTTGCCTTTTATTTTTAAAGCAGATTTTATTGATCTCTAATTTTATTAAAAAGATTTATTTATTTATGTATACAAGTATTAGGGCACAGGCCGGAGGTACAGGGGATTGAAAGGACTCACCAGAGAACAGTCAGATGGAGTGAAATACACTGCTAAGGAGAGCAGTGGGTGGAGCAGGAGAAGCTGCGCCATGTGGGTCATCTCCCTGGCCAGGGATTGAACTCATCTTGCAGTGGCTTCGGAGAGCCTCACAGTGCTGGGCTTTACCACCAGGGAGGGCTCCTATTGTGCTCTAATTTACATAGTATGAAATTTACCCATTTTAGTGTGCGAAAATGTTTAGTATATTTATAGAATTACACAACCATCAATGCCTTTCAGTGTTAGTATATTTCCATCACCTCACCCAACAAAGAACCCTGGTGCAAATTCAAGTCAATCCTGGTCCTCACTCCCAGTTTGCACTGATCTACACTTCTATGTTTACTTTCGAATGCCCCATTTCACAAATGGGGCAACTGTGGCTCTGAGAAGTTAGAGACAGAAAATCAAGCAGCTAGTAAACATCAAAGCTGAAGTTTTAATCTGCCAATGACTTCTTTTTGATTTTTTTATTTCACAGGCTATGTACCCCATGTCTGCCAATAGCAACTATTGAAAAGACTTCTGAAATCTCCTTCCTCTCCCATTGCATCATTGCGTCCTTGGTTCAGGTTCTCATCTTGTCTGGCTCAGAGAATTTATTTTCTGCCTATTCTTTTTGTCTATATTTCTATATTTTTGTCTATATATTCTTTTTGTCCATATTTCTGCCCCCATTCCTCCTTTCAAAAAAAATGTTTATTACAAAGCAAATATGGTTTTATTACCTCCTGAAATTTGGATAATTTGGCAAATGTAATTTGTGAAGCAAGTTACAAATAACTTTTACCAAAAATAGATACATTATGAAAAGTTACCATTAATTTGCTTAAAAAATAATCTAGTGCAGATTCAAGGGAATTCCTATAATGACATCATTCTCACTTATATTCAAGGAGGCTTTTTTTAAGAGCTGAAAAAGGAGGGTAAATTCCAGCTTATGGGTGAGAATCACACATAGCTAACAGAAAATGAAATGAACACCCCAGCCTGGAGTGCCCAATCCTACTGAAGTACTGTCCCTGTCATGACTGAGTCATTGTGATAAGCATCCATTGTTTCAAACTCATGAGGATGTGTCATGAGCATGTCACATGTCAGTTATAGTCAAAAGCAGACTTAACCCTGCTGACCACCCAGCTTCACCCAACACCCTCTATCCTTTTTCTTAGCACTCAGCTGATGCAATCTGGACTTCACCTCACTAAGACTGTTCACCCTCTGAATCATATGAACTATATTCTTCCTTCCTTCTGGGATTCCCTTCTCAAACTCACTCTCACCCTGAACAGTACTGAAAAACACAATCCAGTGCTATATCCTTCCCTGTGTATACTGTGTAGAGTTTGTGGTCTCTCTTTTACATGCCCATGACATTGTGTATACTTGTCTTTGTTTTCGAATAATTTGCTTATAGTTCTCTTTTTCTCAAAACTATATGTGTGAACTCAGGAAAGACATGTTTAATTCTTATGAGGGAAGCTTACAGGAATACATGGAGGAGGTAGCATGCTAACTAGATCATGAAGATAATAGGAGCAGAAAATTGAAGAATACTCTGTAAGCTAGCATCAGCAAAACAGGCATGACCGATTAGAATATCTGTTTTCACACCATTTTCAGGCACTCTTATTATGTTAGTTTAAATTGAGATACATTGAAATCTTTAAAATAGAGTGACATACAACAACCTGAAATTCCTCACTTTATTTAGTTTGATTTTGCTACTAAATAACTACTAAATGACTTGAGTTTTGTCCATTGGTCATTAAGTGTTACTCAAAATGCATAAAAACTTGTGCCAAATTTTCTGTTCTTCTGTATCACTTAAGTACACTTTAATCTATATTTCGGTAGGCACATTTCATTGTATATAAGCTCTGTTCAAAAACAGTAACTTAAAATAATCTAGTGATGTTTACATTGGTTAGCAAGTAGAGAATATAATTCTAACCCAATAAGATTAACTCATGGAGGCAGTTTAATATTAATACATGACAAAAAATTAGCCATTATTTGTATTCTTTTTCTGGTTTATCACTGATTAGAAGCAAATTGTGGTTTGCCTGTTGCTCATTTCTAATATAATTGTGTATTTTTGCTGACATATTTCTTTCTGATTTGAATTCCTTTATAATTATAACTAAGTATAAATACATGTGTATATATTGTCCTCTGCACTCTAAAACTCAGCTTTAAATGGAACCATACTAATATTTGACATAAATTGTGCCCAATTGCAACATATACTCATATATGCTGTAAATATGAGTTTGCTTACAGTAAGTAGTTTTTGTTGGTAATAAACTTGTAAGTTCAATTTACTACACAGTGGTAGTCCTGTTGTTTACATCCTCAATAGATTTTCATGAGTCTTTAGTGAACTGACAGTAGTTAATAATTATGTAAAGAATTCAAAACCATAATTTTAATTTAATTTCATATAAGCTTTTATTGGAAACTATTCTCATTTTTATTCAAAGCTTTTTTAAAGTGTTCTTAACTTTCCCTCATATTCTCCTTTCCTAGGTAGAGGAGCAGTGTCAGAGGCTAAAAGAGTTTTATCAAACTGAAATCTCACGGAAAGGGGATGATGACAGTGAAGCCAAGCATCGATCTGACTCAGCTGAGGAACGGTCACACCTATGTTTAAAAAGGAGTTTTTTAACTCAAGACTTAGGGTTTGAGTTCCTTAATTTAATAAGCATGGTGAGAACGTCATTAAATGAGTCACAGCTTGTGCAAGGGTTACTTGTTAAAGTCAAGATCATAAATTTAAAAGTTCAACTCTATAAATCAGCAATGCTGATTTAGGAAGTTCCTTTTAGCAGCATTCAACCTACAACAGTCCTGAAGTCCAGAATTTACATACCTGCGTGGTCCTAGAGCTCTTGTTAGTTTATTGCATAAAGGCTATTTTAACTAGTAAGAAGAGTGACTCTAAGTCAAATGCAACATGGTATTGTTACATAGAGTCCTCAGTATATGTCCACCCAAAAGTTGTGAAGTTGGGAGTTGTGTTGAGAGTGGGCAACATCCATACCTGTCCAAATAAAATTCCCAGTGTCCAAAGATGATGTTTAGGGTGAATCTTCACTTTGAAAAATGGCTTACTATAGCAGATCTTTTTATGTGAAGCCCCATTTATATTAAGAAATGTACCCTAGGGCTCTCCCTGGTGG